TTCTTCACACGGTTCCTCCCACAGTTCCTCACAGTTCCTCCCGCAGTTCCTCACGGTTCCTTCTGCAGTTCTTCACACATTTCCTCATGGGGTTCCTCACGTGGTTCCTCACGCAGTTCCTCACACGGTTCCTCACGGTTCCTCCTGCGGTTCCTCACACAGTTCCTCATGCAGTTCCTCAGTTCCTCCCGCGGTTCTTCACATGGTTCCTCACGGTTCCTCACAGTTCCTCCCACGGTTCCTCACGGTTCCTCCTGCAGTTCCTCACATGTTTCCTCACGTTTCCTCACACGGTTCCTCACACGGTTCCTCACACAGTGCTTCATGCGGTTCCTCACGGTTCCTCCCGCGGTTCCTCACATGGTTCCTCCCATGGTTCCTCACACGGTTCCTCACGGTTCCTCCTGCAGTTCCTCCCGCGGTTCCTCACGGTTCCTCCCACGGTTCTTCCCACGGTTCCTCACACAGTTCCTCATGCAGTTCCTCCCACAGTTCCTCCCACGGTTCCTCCCGCGGTTCCTCCCGCGGTTCCTCCCACGGTTCCTCACAGTTCCTCCCGCGGTTCCTCACGGTTCCTTCTGCAGTTCCTCACACATTTCCTCACGGGGTTCCTCCCGTGGTTCCTCCCGCGGTTCCTCACGCGGTTCCTCACAGTTCCTCACACGATCTTCACGTGGTTCCTCACAGTTTCCACACAGTCCCTCAGTTTCCTCGCATAGATTTTTGTCCATTTAGCTCCCCACGCCATTCTACACGGCTCTTCACACAGTCCACACATTTACTCATAGTTCTGCACGCAACTTCACACGCATTTTCTCAGCTACAGTTACACGTTTCCACACGATTTCAGTTCTCTCCTGTCCCTGACGCAGTCCATCACACGGTTCCATAGTGCCGTGCTCGTTTCTCATACTTCCTCACATAGCTCGTCACGCAGTCCTACACACGGTATCTCGCAGCTGCCACACAGTTCCTCACACGGTCCACTCTTCCACACACACTTCCCTTACAGTTCCTCACACAATCGTCCACGTAGTTCCCCACAAATATTCACACCGTTTCTACAGTTAGCTCCTCTCAGACCCTCGCTTAGTTCCTCCCATGTTTCCTCACAGTTCCTACCACATGTCCCGACACAGTTCCCCACACGTAGCTCGTCACACACTGCCTCTCATTTCCTCACACAGTTCCTCGTGCTTCCTCACGTTTCCTCACACACAATTCCTACACAAGCCAACATTTGTCCCCTTTAGCACCTCACACTGGGCGTTCCAGCTACATGGCTGGCTCCCCCCCGCTCCTCGTGTCTCAGCCTTACAACTACGTGTAAAGCTTCCTTGGCCACCCCGACTAAAGGCCGTCTCACTTGTGCGTCACTCTCACGGCCCGTCTTTTTCCTTTATGAAAGGTGTACCGGTTCGTGATTTTGTTTGCTGCGTCCACGTCTCTACATCTCCGTCCCCCATTGTGCCGTGGCCCCGGAAGGGTTGTGTTGTTCTGGCACAGAGCCCAGCTCAGCGCCGGCTCGATGTGTCTGTCTGTGAGGTGCACAAATGAAGCAGCACTCTTACGACCGAGACCTTCACAGGACAACCGGAGCTAAAGGGGCTCCTTGCTTCCAGCCCCCAGCCCTGCCCTGGAGGAAGATTCCTCCGCCTAGAACTGAAGAAAGCAGCTTACCTTGTTGGGCCCAGAGTCCTGGAAAAGAAAAGACAGAGTCTGAGGACCTGGGGCGAGCCCGGGGACACAAGGTGTGTGGGGAGGAGACTATGGCAGGCTCCAGAGAACAAAGGAGCAGGAGAGGCCCGAGCACGTGCCAGGGGTCCATCCCTCCTCACCTGGCCACCGCTGGCCACCCGGGTCCCGACGGGCCAAACGACAGCGCGACCTCTCGGGTCCCTTCACCCCCGACAATCTCAGGAGGGTAGGGCCTCGTAAGATTCGTCCTTCTCTGAACAAAGGCCCGGGTGTCTTGAGTGGCCAATACTGGTAGGGAAACTGAGGTTCCAGGGAGTAACAGGGATCACTACCCCATCCGTAGCCTGGCGACACACACCCCTCACACCTTCGGGCTTTCCCTTGAACCCCGGGCTCCTTGCCAGAGACAGGGCCCGGGGCAGGTGTGACAGGCCCCCGGCATCCTCCACAGAAGGCAGGACAGGGACCCACCTCCGCAATCCATCCCATCAGCCTAGTTCTAGAAACCCAAAGCTGGCTCACCATTTCCGCCAGAGCAGAGATGACCTTCCCCAGCGTGGTCAAGGACTTGTTGATGTTGGCTCCCTCCTGTGTGCGGAGAGGACAGGAAGCCTCATGAACCTCTTGCTCCAGCGTGATCCCATGGGGCCTGACCCGCGTGACGTTGGTCTGAGGCCACCAAGCCCTGACCGTTAATCCCGGGGCTCCTTGGAGCACGGGGGGCTCTGGCGAGGAGCTGCTCAGAGGCCCACCCTGGCCAAGGGGGTGCAGCGCACCCAGTGTTTGTCCTAGTCCCCCAGGGAGTCCTTAGAACACCTCACGCGAGCCCCGCTGGTACAATTTCCAGGGCCCCCTCCCGTCCCCCAGGTAACGGCGGGCACCAAAGGGAGGCTGAAAATGAAAAGTCTCCTTCCCGACACCAAGGACCGCTTTGACCAGACACTGTCCGCCTCGCAGCCTGGGTGCTGGCGGGAAAGCGCAGACACGGGTGGCTGGGGTCCTGAGAGGGCCCGCACGGGGCCCAGCCTTCCCGCCAGGGCCTCCGTCCTCGTTAACCACTAAGCCAGCATGCTGGGCGCGGCCCTCTGGCTACTGGCCTCCTCCCACGCCCTCACCCTCGCCCCCTGCTCTCCCTGCCCAGGCTCGCCCCGGGTGGCGGGGCTCCCCAAGGGGAGCCCTCCCGCCCGGCCCACCCTGGAGCAGGCCAGGCTTGGAAGATGGGACCTGCCGGATGAGCGAGGCGTGGAGGGGCCCCGCTGCCGTCCACAGGCACGGTGGCCTGGCCCTACCTTGAGCCGCGTGCCCTTGGCTCCCGTGGAGTCGGCCCGCTCACTCCCGGCCAGGTCCACCAGGCTGATTTTGCTCACCTGAAACGGCACGTGTCAAATGCAGGAGATGTTCAAGGCCGCTAGGGGGCGCCCTGCCCCCCTCCGAGGCCTGAAGTGCACACTTGAGGGGCCATGGCCAAGCCCTGCCTCGGGGGTCCGCCGGTCTCAGACCCCGCGGTTTCCCTCTATTCACAGTGCACCGGAGGCTCTGCCTGGGGTTCCAAGCCCACCTCCCCAAGAGGCTGCGTGCCCCTCACCCCTAACACTCGCGATGCTGCGGGGACGCTGCCCTCGGTGCGCGGGGCTCTCCACGTGCTCGCACGGAACCCCCACAGAGCTCCCCAGATGTGTCCTGCCCCCCTTTTCCACAGATGAGCTCATCACCCGCGGTGGGATCTGAACCCAGCTCTGGCTCCGTTCTCTCTGCCCACCCAGACCCTGCCGGGCCATCTCTGGGAGGATGGCACCAGGCTGAGAGGACCCTGGCGCGATCGGCGACGAAGTGTGGCAAACTTCCCCGGGACATGCAGACCCTGGGGGGCTGCCTGCTGCCGGAGACTGCACTGCCCACCAGGCGGTGGCCGAGGCGCCCCGGGGAGGAGGCCTGGACAGTGGGTCAGGGGAGGTGACACAGAGAAAACCTGGCCCCAAGGGACAGGGCCACCGATGGGCAGGAAGAGGCTCTGAGCCTGCCCTGCGGCCCCTTCCGGGGCATGGAGACCACGTGTCCAGATAAAGGTCCCAGGGGACCGTGCTCCTACCCGGGTTCCCTGAGAACGCCAAGGCGCGTGGGAAAGGCATCCGGAGCCGGGGCGGTGGGCGGGGTGGTGCTCAGACCACAGCCTCTCCTTTGTGCTTGTGGATGCCGGGGCCCCCGCCCTCCTGCCAGTCGGTCACCGTCGTGACAGGCACTCACTCCACCCACGGCCCTCTGCTTCCGAGGGCCACCGGTATCCTCAGCGGTGCGGCCGTGGGGACGCCCTTCCTCTCAGCCCCCACGGTCTCCACCAAACCCACCCGGCAGGAGGCAGACCCCGGGTCCACGGCCCCTCCACCGTCAGTCCCTTCTACGCCCAGACGGTGCCAAATACCGAGACGAGGTGGCCCCGCAGGCCGGCCAACTTCTCGGAGGCCCACGCTAAGCCGGGGGTGGGGAGGGCCCGGCGCCCAGGGTGAGGACGCTGTCCGAGCCTCGCAGGCCGGTGGTTCCCTGGCCTCCTCGTCCTGCCCGACGGGACTGACCCGTGCCCCCGCCCAAATGGCCCGCCTCTGCCAAGGCCACGCTCACCTTCTCTGTGGTGATGTTGGTCTCCGCGTCGTGGCGCTTCTGGGTGAAGATGATGTTGAAGACAGCGTGGGAGCGGCTGCTGGTCTCATTCATGTTTGTGGCGGCCACGGTCCTGGGGGAACGGAAGCCACACGTGGTTACCTGTCGTCCTATGGTCGGGCGGGAGAGTCGCTGACGGTGCTAGCCAGCTGGACCAGGTCACGGGGCATGGCTCTCCCGGGGCTCCCGGGGCTGCCCTACCCAGCCTGGTGGTGACCGCGTGTCCTGTCACAGTGCGAACGGGGCCCACGCCCTCCCGGCCACCAGCTCCAGCCTGGTACTCGGGCGCCGTGACAGGGGTCAGCAGAGCCCAGGAGCACTCACGAAACAGGGAGGGGGGCCTGTCGGGCCGAGATGTGGAAAGGCCCCGCCCAGGAGGGAAAGGAGGCGCCCACCTTCTGTCCCTTCGGTCCCCGTCTGGGCAGGGCCGGCAGCAGGCCCCTGGGGGACAGAGCCCAAGGCAACGCGAGGGGAGCTGCAGGGCTGGTCCCAGGGCTGCCGACCTGCCGGGACCTCAGGACGTGTCCCTGCTGGGGATTCGCTGTCTGACAGCCCACAGAAGGGACGGGCCTCACCAGAACCCTGCTCCTGCGGGGCTCTGACCCACGTGAGGTCGTTCACCGTGGGGGCGTCCCTGGGCGGCAGAGAAGGCGACCGTTTCTGTGAGCAGCCAGGCAGACCCCCCCGGGGCAGTGCCACCAGTGCCCGTGGCCAGCAGTGCCTTATGGCTGACCCTGCCCCCAGGCCCCCACCTACGCCCCCTGCAGAGCGGGCAGAACCGGGCCTCACAGCCTCCTGACCACTGGGCCCAACGGGGCAGCTGCCCGCAGGGAAGGACCCCGGGGAGGAGCCTCACAGATGATGCCAGTCCCCCCCCAGGAGGAGCAGCCCCTGTGGAGGTGACAGGGTGGGGGTCTGGAGGCCCCTCCCAGGCTGGCCCTTCAGTGGCCTCAGGCCCGCGGGGTCCACCCTCCACGGGGGTGCTGGACAGACCCCACGGGGAAACCGACAGGTGCCCCAGGAGCAGGCCTTCCCCAGGGAGACTCACAATGGCGGTGGGGGGGGGGGGGTGGGCGGCGTTTAGGGTAGAGAACTGGGGGAGGGCGAGCCCCCGGCATGCACCTGGCCTTGTTCCCTGAGTCCATGAGGTCCTGGATGTCATTGTAGGAGGTGACGGCCAGCTTGGAGAGGTCCTCCACATACGGCCCCATCAGCGGGTGCTCGCGCACTCGCAGGTTGCCCTTGTTCTTGGGATTCAGGAGGTCACGGACGCGTTCACAGTAAATCTCCATGTAGCTGACCTGCAGGGCGGAGATGTACCATCAGGGACCCCCCCCCGGTGGGGTGCCAGCGGGTGTGCGGGCCAGCACCAGGGCCCCCCAAGGTGGGGGTGCAGGGCCGTTACCAGGGACTCTTGGGATAGGGGTGTGGGGGCCACCTGCTGGCAGGGGGAGGCATGTGCGAGTGCAGGGGTCAGGTGAGTGCAATGAATGCGCAGGGAAGTCGGCCCACCTCCTGCTGGTCCCCCCCACCTGCGCTCATCCTGGGGCTTGTCCGACGTGGACACACCGCGGCCATGGCAGAGCCAGGTCCCGCGGCTCTGAGACATCCGTCCCTGCCCCTGGTCCGGAGCAACTACTCAGTGAGACTTGCTGAGCAGAGGACCGCCCCTCGCTCCCGTGCCCGGTGTGGGTGTCACATGCAGGAGGGAGGGACGAGCCAACGGCACAGACCAGTGGTGGGGACTTGCTTTAAAGCAGAAAAGCACCACGGTCCACGCCCGAGCCCCCCGCTGTGCTGGCAAAACGGACGCTCGGGGAGCCCTACCTCCACGGAGTAGGACATGTTGTCGTTGGTCGTGTCGTTGATGCGGGAGAACAGGTCTTCACAGAGCTACAGGGCCGAGGACACACCGTCAGGTGATGGGGACAATGGGACTGTTCCTGGAGCCCTGCCCCCGGGGTGCTGTGGGCAGCCTGAGCCCAGGCCAGACGCCGCTCTCCCGGCCCCTCTTGCTCATAACAGTCCACCTCAAAGGCACTGAAAAGGCCTGCAGCCAAAGAGCGGCTGTCTTCTGCTTAAGTCACGGAGTCCCCACGGACCATCTGTGATCCCTTCCTACGTTCTTCGTGCCGTCCTTGTCTCCACCGGGTGGGCTGGGGTCCCCCGTGCTACAGGCTACCTGGTGTTCTCTCCTGCCCTGACCAGGTCAAGCGCTGACCAGCTCAGATCCAGAAGCCTGCCCGGGGTCCCAGCAGCTCAGGGCCCCTGAGTCATCTATGTCTCAGCCTGCAGTTAACCAAAGGCCACCCCTCGTCCCGGGCGTCTCTCCCTGACCGCCGCCAGCCTCCACAGCTCCCGGGGGAAGGGTCAGCGTGACAATGGCTCTCCCGACTGCCCGGTCTTACAGATGTGACCCGGGGGGCACGGCCAGGGCTCTCCCCCTCAGCACCCCCCGTCGCAGGGCCTGGGGCTCCGGTCCCTTCAGAGCAGGTCCGCCCCACGCCGCCCCTCCTGCCCTGCCCTCCCGCCTCGCAGTGTCCCTCCCCTCCTGGCCCCCTTCTCTCCGAGGCTGCTCCCCTGGGGCGCCCTGCCCGGCCCTTCCCCACTGGGCTCCTGCAGCCCTGCCCGTGCTGCCCTCCCCCGGCCTCCCGCCCCAGCCCCCGGGGCCCGCGTGCCTGCGGGATGATGCCCTGCTGGTCCTTCTCCTGCTTGCCCATCATGGTGTAGGACTTGCCGGCCCCGGTCTGCCCGTAGGCGAAGATGCACACGTTGTAGCCCTCGAAGGCGTGCTGCAGCATCTCCTCGCCGATGTCCCGGTACACCTGCTTCTGTGACGCGTACTTGATGTCCTCCGGCTGCAAGACAACAGGGAGCGAGGCTGTAGGAGGCCGGGTGCGCCCGAGGCTCAGCCCGCTGTGTTCTCCGAGCACCTGCCTCGCAGCCCGAGGCCTCCCCCTGGGGATGGACGCCCGCCCCACGCCCCGGCGCGCAGACGCCCCGGAGAGGGGACCTAATCCTGCCTGGCGGGCTGCAGCTTCCTGAGAGAGGGGTTGGGAGGGGCTGGCGGGGCGGAAGGGCATCTCAGCAGAGGGAACTGCCTGTGTGAAGGCTCCGAGGCAGGAACATGGGACATAAGGCTCAACATCAAGGCTGGGTTGGCAGCCTTGGGAATGAGAAGCGGTGGGGCTGGAGGCCCCGGGAGCCCACAGATCGGTTACGGCGGCCGGATGCTCTCCCAACAGAGGATTATTTAGGCACGTCCGGGGCGTTACCATAACCATGCCTGTCACTGCTCAGGGTGACCTTTCAAGCACACGGGGACTTGAGGAGGTAGGCCCCTTCTCCCCCCCCCCCGCCCCGCCCCCGCCAGGCAGGTGCCGCTGGCCCCTTCCCCTGTCCCACCCTCATGTCCCAGGTCATGAGCTCAGAGAGGTTAAGGGACTGGTTAAGGCCCACACACAAGCATCCACACGACTGCGGCCCACCCCCCTGGATCCCAGCCCTGGGCTTACCGAGGTGTGTGACCAGTAGGAATAGTCGAAGCTGAAGCTTTTGGGTGTCTCCTTGGGCTGTTTGGGGTTAATGATGGCTGCGGAGGGGGTGGGGGGGGGGAACAGGCGTGGCAGTTAATGCTGTGCTGGGGGAGAGACGACCAGTAGGTGGTCCATACCCACCAGAGAGGTACCCAGGGCAGGGAGGTGGGGTCCCCGGTGGCCTCGGGCCCCAGACAAGCCCCCCACAGTGGGATGGGGCCAGGGCTCCAATTCCAGGCAGACAAGCCACATCTGCCCCTTTCCTCTGTCGGGTGGAGCCTGCAGCCCACCCCCACCGCTCGGTCCAGCCTCCCTCGCCGCCCACCCCTCTGGGTCTTACACATCCGCTCCGCGTACACGTGCCCTGGAAGCAGCCAGAAGGCCGGGCAGGCTGGGCAGCCCGGCACGGTCGTGCTCTGCTTCCTCCGGGCCCTGTCGTTCCCGTGTGGCTCCCATGTGCTGTGTGCGGCCCTGGCTGTCCCCGCTGGGGCACCCCATCACCGCCTCCACCGCCTGCTCCTCCCGGCCTGTGCCTGCAGGCTCCCTCCAGGCTCGCGCTCACGGGCCCCCCCGGGTGCCGTCCTGTGCGTGCCCCGCCCCCGCAGCGGCCTGCACCCCGGGCTGACCAGAGGCAGCCCTGGGAATGAGGCCACGAATGCGTGCTGGTGCCGTCACACGCCAGCCGGTGCCTGCCACGCGTCCCAGCGGCCCCCGACCCAAGCCTGCTCTGCCCCGTTGCCCCAGGCCTGCAAGAGGTGACTGCTCTGTGGCCAGGCAGGAGGGACTGAGGCCTCCACCCCCATTGAGCCACCCCGCCCGCTGCCTACCGGAGCACCATCTGAACCTCTGAGGTCCGCGTTGACCTGGACGGAGGACTCTGGGGCCGGGGGCCTGTGCGGGCAGGCCCTGGGGCCACTTGCTCTGGCTGACGGGCCTGCTCCCAGCACGGGCATCACCTGAAGCCCTGTCCCCAGGGCTGACTTGGCTTTGGGACCCAGACCCCAGGTTTGAGGAGTTCCGGGAGATAACCAGCACCTTGGGGAAGCTAGCAGGAAGGAGCAGGTGACTGACCACCCCAGCGCTGTCCTCGGGGCCTCGAGGGGGTCACATCCCTGCTGCCTCCAGGAGCAAGGCCAAGGAGAGCAGGCTGTCCTGCTGTCCACTCCTGCTGGGACCTGGGGACACAGCCACCGGAACCCCGAGCGCAGATAATGCCAGCACCATGGAAACAACAATCACGGCCCCCCCCCCCCCCCATGCAAAGTCCGGGCTAGGCCTCCCATGGCTCACGCGACAGGGGCCCGGTCCCCTCTGCTCCTCACCTCCCTGCCTTGCAGGCCTGGCCCCCTTACCCTGCTCCCGAAACAGGCCCTGATCCCTATCCCGGGTCCTTGGACAGGCCCGCTCCCCAACCCTGCTCCCTGGCCAGACCCGGGCCCACCTGGCACACCGTCCCCACCGCCTACCCCCTGCATGCCCAGACACAGCCAATTTCGCCGGAGAAACAGCTTCCTTTGCCAGGGTCTCGAGTTTCTCCTCGTCTGGGATTGAGGAGGGAGGAGAGAGGGGGGGTCCTCGGGGGCTCGCCGAGCCGGGGACGGGCTCCCACTAAGCCTGGGGGGGCTGGGGCCCCTCCAACGAGCACACAGTACCGGGAGAGCCGCCCGGGGTGCACGCCTGCAAGGGACAGACATGTGGGGGGGGTGGGGGGACAGCTGGAACAGGGAAGGGACGGCCGGGAGGAAGCAGCGGAACGGAAGCCGTTCGTCTCCGTCTCAATGTCCCTGCGACCTCAGGCCCCACGAGCCAGCGTGTGCTGCTTGGGCCCCTTCCAGCCAAACACTGAAGACTCTTGTGAGCCTGCTGTCAAACCGTTGCAGCTCGAAACTAGCCGAGGGGAGAGTATTTATACCACGTAAATCAGGCGACAGGTGTGTGTGGGAGAGTGTGAGCGTGTAAGCGCGTGGGGGGATGTGCAAGTGTGTGTATGTGAGAGCGTGTGAGCACGTGTGAGACGGCGTGTGAGAGTGCGGTGAGAGAGTGTGTGTGTGAGCGTGAGAGCGCAAGTGCACAAGCGAGCTGCCTTACCAGCAGGCCGCTGCCTCAAGCGTGCAGGATTTAGGAGGCGGCCACCCTCACGGAGCGCGACCTCGGCGGGGCCTCGGGGAACAGCGAGTCCCACACCCGGCCGCTGGCATTCCTCGCGCACGGGACAGCCCCCTCCTCACCTTCTCCCGACAGACAAGGAGGCTCCGTGGCCATCTGATCTGGTTCACAGCCCCTGTGCCCTGGCCAGCCCTGCTGCACCCCGGCCAGCCCCC